TCCGGTGAAGAACCGTGAAGGAATCAAGAAGAAAATTTTGTTTGGATGATACAGGTTATGATGATGGATACGGGTGTTCGAATCAACTACGAAAGTGGTTGAAAATCTTAGAGAGGTCAATATTGCAGCCATATTTGGTGTCCTGTTTCTGACGGTCGCACCTACGACAGAGCTATTTCGAATTTTTCTAGCCGCCTCCATCTTGTGTTTGAGTTGATATGTTTCTCTCCAAGTTCCCCAAACGTTGCAATGCTTTATTGTCAAGGCAAAGTTTATCCATTTTGGCATGCTCGAGTGAACTCCAGCGCTCATCATAGCTGATTTAGTTAACCGAACCGTCTGGTTGATCGTCGATGTCAGCACACTACGGCGGGTGTGATTTGTATTATGGGGTTTATGTCACCCAGTTCAATAACGAGGAGTGGGTGTAGCTTGCGAAGTTATAGCGGTTAATCGATGCCAGCAATCGGTTTATTGAAGTGCGGAGTAATTGACCGTCAGTAAGCAATAAGTGATCAGGGAAGAAAAGGATTAACAAGCGTAATAACAAAGCAGGAGGCTAAAGATTTCTTATTGTGATGGGAATGCCGACGAAGGCAGAGATAGAGTGATCTAAAAAGCAGCATTTGATCCTTCACTTACCCTAAAATAAAGCAATGAGATCAGCGTGTCCATCAAACATGACAGATCACTTTGTTTGCAGACAACATTAAGATGGTTCATAAATTTCCAAGAAACAAACTCCAGAGCACAATGTTGCTCGTTCAAGAAGACATCAACTCACTCGAGAAATGGTGTGGCACAGGGCTTATATGATAGTTCTCAGCTAATAAACCAAGTATCATGACTTACGGATGTTCGATCGCTGAAGAGTCAGTCAAAATGAATAGCGAACACATCTGTGTGAAACTGTCTAAGTGCGATCTAGGAATATGATACTCTACAAATTTCGACTTCTCAGAGCAGGTCGAATATCAAACAGCGCGCGCCGAACGACATATGGCTACAGTATGTTACAAAATCAATAAAGTCCCGGCCAAAATCAAAATTTCCAAAATACTCACACATCCTTGAATACTACAGCATAATTTATGGACACATGCGGACGGGTGACCCAAACGCTCTGGAACGTTCGTTCAGTAAATCGTCCATATTGAGGTATCAGGAGTGTTGCCAGCAGCTTCCATGCGAGGCTCTTTGATTGCGACGACTGAAACATAAGTTGATGCTCACGCACAATCTCATAAACTAAAAGACACTCCAATTTTTGCACATTAAAATTGCGACCCAACGTCCCCCGGAGACTTCACAACAAGATTTGTAAACTAACTGTATGAAGTCCCAAGACAGCTATTCGACTTAACTTATTCCTCGTCAGATATGTTGTCTTGTGGAATAGACTGCCAGTTATTAGCAGGCCTTGTGCAAATATAGGAACATGCTGCGCTTAACTGGGAAATTTCCCTGGACCAGAACTCGATAATGACCATGTTTTCATGGAGGAAATCCTCAAATGTGTTCCTAAATAGACTAAGCAATAGATGACCAGTTGAAAAAGCTGTTGCACAAAATTCAGCATCAACAAAATCCATCAGTTGCAGAATGCCTTAATAATAACAAGGACACTAACTAATACAATACATATCACACTTATGAATGAACATGATCAAAATTGTACTAATGATCTGTCCCTATTCCAGTGACAGCCCTCTCGTACGTTCGAGAAATATAAGTATCATAAATGTTCGAAGTTTTACATGAGGCATAAAACGATCTCATTCTTCACGTAAGTGCATTAAATCGAGTACCAGAAAATCTAAACGGAAAACAAGCAGGATGTACCCAGAACAAAGTTTTTTATCAGAATCTATTGCAAAGGAGAGCATAGTGGACGAGGGGCTCAACCAACAGCAGACTTGGTCAAATGCTCTAGGACTGAACACGTTTCTAACAAGCTGTGCGCAGCGGTCTCGGAGAAAAGCAGACTTGCACCTACGATTCTTGATTGATGGAAACCCAACACGTTATTGCCTGTGAATGACACAGTGGCAATGGCGTCTGCCTTACCATTTTCCGGCACGCCGGATGCAAAGTACACTGTGCTCCAATTCCGTGAGACAAAACATCTGGAAACCTTCCAAATACGAGCATAAATAGCCTGGAGAAAACTACTCAGGAGGCGAGAAGCTAAACTGTGACAAGTGCAATTCAGTCGAAATAGTGATTGGGCTGGCGAACTTCCGGTCTCTAATCGGAGACTGGGGACCACTCATGTTAGATGTCCCAAGGATTCTTCAGTTAAATATGGGGAATGGTGACACACAAGTCCACCCAGATTAAGAATTTAAACCAATTTTTAGATAACATGGTTGGCGGCATCCGGTTTCGGATTTGCCTGTCACTGTGGCAAGCCACAGGACGCCTGCGCCTACAGAGGGACCATGGATGGCTTGCGCTGCACCACCCACAGCTCCAACCACACACCCCATATCCAGTGTAAACCCGAAGGAATAAGACCGGGAGGCATGTGGATGGGAACCACGTTTCATCAACGGAGCCGGCCCACACTCCTTCACAGGCAAACACAAGCACGCTGTATTTGGGGAATCAACCGCACACAAGGCGGTGGCTGGACCGTAGTCCGCTCCACACTGAGTGCATGGAACCACTCTTCGAGCCTAACACGGCCACAAGAACCGTGCACCCCGTCCCCTCCAGCAACGACCAACTGTCTCCTGGAGCCAGTATGAACGATGTAGTGGGTAATAGACAGGTAGGCACCTTGTCAACATGCACATCAAGCGCAGCCACACCGGGGATATCAAACAGCAGCCAAACACTTGAGAGGGGGAGAAAGAGAAAAACTCGATTAATGCATAAGGAAACGGTGACATCAACCTTAATTAAATAGCATACGTAATAAGTTGTTTACAAACAAATCCTAGCTAAGTGCACGAGGTCAGGAAGTATAGTTCACGGAATGCCACGAACACAAAAATGTTATGGAAATCGAATACAATTGGCTGAAGCTATGTGTGCAAGTTAATGGAATAGAGTACAGGGAGATATTCATATGAGAAAGGGAAGCATTAGGCACAAACTGTAAACCCACCACCTGAAATAGAGAGACTTAGCATGCAAGCACGCGGTTAGTAAATCGAAATCAGCGTGCCTACAAACGCTGCGCCGGCTCGTCGGAATCCTCTGCAGGACCCGTCGTCGCTTCTGTAGTGGCCCCAAATGGCACAGCGCATTGCCCACTAGACATTTATCCACTAGACATTTATATGAGAAAGATAACATACATTTTAATGAACGGGTCGTCTACGAAGCACCACGAGCCTAGTCAACGAGCACCCACGGGTCAACTAGCCAGAGAAATAAAATTGCTAGATCAGCCAACGCAATGAAGAGCAAGGAGCTAAAATGAGCTTAAAAGCAGAGAAATAGTCATTCTGACTATTACTCTGGTTTGTTCAATTACATAGGCATCAGTCGATTGGTGCCGATAGTCAACGGTGAAGCATGTGAAATGGATACCCTAATCGAGTACACTGAGAAGTCATTACCAAGAGTTCGCTTATATGAGAAAATGGCGTAATCCCTGGCTGCAAATTCGAAGTATAGCGGATGGTTCGAAGTGGAAATGGCACGACTGTAGTGCATAGAGCAAAATGTTTAAATGGTAGAACAAGCCGAGCTGATGTGATTCCATAAGTATATGTGGAAGTTGAAAGGTTTGGTTTGTTGTCGATTTCACAGGCTCTTGAAGCGTATCCAACAGACAAGCAGGAGGAGAGCTAAACGCCATCGGGAGCACCGCTTGTTTTACAACTGAGGAACGAACATAGGCGACAGTGATGGAGACACGATGGCCCTAATGCCGTACAGTGCACTGAATGTCGCAAAGTTATCACGATAATAGGACTGAAATAAATTAGGGGAGCATCGTCCTTGTGGAATAACCACCTGACAGCATAGTGCGAAGTAATTTACTAGGAGTTCGACGTCCAAAGCAAAACATAAAACTATTAGGTACAACATCTCCAACTAATGTGTGAACGGATCACACGGGTAGAATTTTAGACTAAGGAAATAGTGTGAGGTAGGTAAGCTCGAATAGGCCCTTAACATTGTGGCACGTAAACGTCATCTGTAGTATTTCGGTAGTATCGCCAACAAATGCACTGGAATCGTTGTGCCAAGTTCAGTTCAGTTAATCAACTAGGATTTGTTCACCGAGGTGTGATTGATTTACTTAGTTAGACACAAGTCACCGGAGCAATCACGACAACAATAATAACTGAGAAAGAAGGAACAAGGACACAAATGCAAAGTCAAAACAAAAGGGCGAAGTAAGGGGATGAATACAAGGATGTCCCTAACCACGTGATCGTACCATACACCCAATGATTTGAACGGTCCTGACGACACTAACCGAGCAAGTGATAAATATCAATCCCGCTCAACCTTTAGCAAAGTTTATTCATGCTCTTTTGTGAAGCCAATGACTGGTAACTTCGGGATTTCGTCCGACTACGTGCAGTGTTGGCATACAATACATGAAGGGGTAGCCGGTTGGCAAGCATGCAGAGCAAGTGATCGAGCTAACGAAAGGGGTTCGAGTTCTACAAGCACTCTGACGAAGTTCAGTAGTACTCGCGCGGTTCTCGCACTAGAGATGAGTAGAGCTTCGCAAACAGCAGTGCCTAAAACACTAAATCTCCCAGCGTACTCTGCATGCAGCGACCAAGTCACAGACCCATGTATTAACACTGGACGGACCGTGCAGTTCTGAAGTGAACGGCATGTATCAGTTAGAAACACCAGTTCAAGAGAGGGGTTGAACAAGTGAGCAAGAGACAAAGGTCTAACAGCTCACGCAGATGGATCGATAGAAGTGAGAAGGTAAGCAGTGCAGCAGAAGAAAGCATAAAAGTAAAAAGTGAGAATTTATACAAGCTACCACAACAAAAGAGAAGCATGATATGAGCGGTTACCCTCGGAACAACGGAGTGATGACTTGACTGAACTCAAGACAGAAGAACCGGCCGCGTGGTTTAAGGACTCGATAAGCCTCATCTAAAACCTGTCACATTATTGGCAGAGCGGATTGTACGACTTACCAAATCAATGTGGGTACAGTTGCGAATGCCAAACGCGATTGTGTAAACGTCGAACGAATTATCTGGAAATGGGAGTCGCTCGGCATCCCCAACTACCCATCGGACTTAAACACCAAATTTATCGTGGAACATTGGCAACAAACTGTCTGAAATTCCAGCTTTTTCGGCTTTTGCCTTGCCCACTTCTATCATAGCCGGATTTATATCACACAGGGTAATGTTCGGACCAGTTGTAATCGGCGTATCGGCAGAAACTGCTTGCCTCGAATGCCGAGAAAATTTATATATTCGGAAGGCTATATCGCCTGTGGCCTAGTGATTCACGAGCGATAACACGAGTTACCTGTACCACCAGCCACGTCTAAAAAGGTAAGATTCCGTGTTGGCATTATTTGCTTGACGAAGCAGTCTTTCCACAAACGATGAATCCCAAAACTCATAACATCATTCATAATGTCGTACTTTCGTGCCACGTTTTGGAAAACGTGAAAAACTGGGAACGGGAGAGAAATAGAGAAGGGAGCAGAGAGGAATCACCTCTGCGCTGTTTTTCATCTTCATTAACAGGTTGGTCCCCAAAATAAGTAGTGGAGAAAGCCGAATTAGATGGAAGCAACCTTGAACGCTTGCCGATGACAGAAGGCAAGAGTTGCCATGAAAAGATTTTCCTCATCTAAAACAAATAGGCACATGACGACCATAATAAAACAATTGCAAATGCCAGTAACATCTGGATCAACCTTGCATTGCTGTTAAAATAACGGAGCTCGCCATTCATTTTAACAGAAAGTGTTGCAAAGAAACATAGTCAGAAATATTAACGAACAATAAGAAAAGTAATGAACGATCGCATTTTCTTTTTTGGATTGCATGAAAGAAAGATTGAACTAGGGGCTATCACCTTGAGAAACAAAAGAATTTCCGAGTGATGAGTTGATGCCAAAAGGTGAGATGAGAGAGATACCAAAGCTGATAGCTCTGGTGAGATACTTTATAAAGGACGCTGGGACAACTAGACGGAATCTTAGGATAACGTGACGGTTTGCGTATCTCTACAAGCAATTGAGCCAGGCTGGAAGGTGCCCTTGGGTTCCTTGATAGCAACCTCTATCAGACTGTTCGAAAGTAGAAGACCAGACAAACTCAGGTTCCTAGTCCCTAGTGTTGTGGGTTGGAATGAAGGTAACGCTTGGGAACAGCGGTAGATCGGGCTGACGATTCATTTGTCCGTCCAGCATAGCAAACTGATTGCAGACGTTTCGTCACTAAACGAGGTGACATTAACAGTGCGGACTTTGCTGTACCACGGTCGCGAAAACTGTGCAGCACAAATCCCTCGTTTTGCATTGTCCGCCGCGCAGCATAAAGGGGCTGCCGCACAGAACAGCACAGTAAGCGAAGAGACTACTGTTTAACCGTTTTCCCCACGCATTTTTCACTACGAACTTGATTTCCACAGTTGTCTGTGTAAACAACGATGGTTCCAATATCACGGAAGGTTTACCGCGTGCATCGATCACGGGGTACCAAATAACCTACGCCTGTCAAAATTTCCTTACCGGGCCACTATGCCTGGTTTCCCTGACGGTATTCATCGCTCATATAACAAGACAAGATCAATATGCCGTGCCCTAAAATAACATGGACGTAACGTGCGCTGTGATTCCAAAACGTAAATTCCTACGTATTACATGGTTATGGAGCGAAATGAATTCCGCAAACTCTATTGTAACTGGCTACACGCTCCCGACGAAACTGATGCACAGGCATGAATATTCAGCTGCATTCTCCGTGCCAATTTAGCGTGTTTATTTTCCTTCGAATGGTGTGTTGGCTTTTTGATATCCCTGGTATGGCTGCGATTGATGTGAATGTTGGTAAAGTGCCTACTAGTCTAACATCCCTCACCACGAGTACTTGCTACAGGAGAATGTGAATCGTTGTTGTGGGGATGAGGTTCACGGTCCTCATGGCCGTGCTAGGCTCAAAAAGTGGGTCCATGCATCCAGTGTGAATCGGACTACGGCCCAACCACCCCACGTGTAGGTCTGGTACCCATGATACCCAAATTAGATAGAGAGGGATGTTGTTATGTATGTTGAAGGAGCGTGGGCACACTCCGTTGATGAAACGTGCCTCCCATCCACATGCCTCCCGGTCTTATTTCTTCGGATCCACCCTGGATATAGGGTGTGTGGATGGAGCTGTGGGCGATGCAAAACAAGCCACCCGTGGATATTCTCTATGCGTAGCCGTGCTATGGCTGTCATATGGAGGCCGCAGTAACAGGCAAATCCGGAATCAAATGCCACCAACCATGCTGAGGCTGATGTTGCATTCTTGATGCTTCTTCACCGCAGTTGGGCTAAACCAACTTACACTTAAACTAAGTCTTTTTAAGCTGGCTAAATTTTATTCCACTTTATTTGGTTTGTTCTGCCTACCTGAATAATCTTCTATTAACTGGCCACGTTGATTTCGCTAATTGCGCTTATCTTCGAAAACTTTGTTGCGTTTGTAGCATGTTTAAGTAACTTGTGGACATTTTTGCCTTATCGCGGGTTCGTTGCTAACCAACTTACTTCATATGCTAATTTAGCGAAGAGTTATGCCACCGTATGTGTAGCATTATTGGATTTGTTTTATTTCATTTTGTCGTTTCAAGCGATTGGCTGTTGCTTGATATCCCCGGTGTGACTGCGCTTGATGTGCATGTTGACAAGGTGCCTACCTATCTATTACCCACTACCTCGTCCATACTGGCTCCAGGAGACAGTTTGCCGTTGCTGGAAGGGACGGGGTGCACGGTCCTTGTGGCCGTGCTAGGCTCGAAGAGCGGTTCCATGCACTCAGTGTAGAGCAGACTACGGTCCAGCCACCGCATGGTGTGCGTTTGATTTCCCAACTACAGCGTGCCTGTGTTTGCCTGTGAAGAAGTGTGGGCCGGCTCCGTTGATGAAGCGTGGCTCCCATCCACACGCCTCCCGGTCTTATTCCTTCGGGTTTACACTGGATATGGAGTGTGTGGTTGGAGCTGTGGGTGGTGCAGCGCAAATCCCAGACCGGATGCCGCCTACCATATATATATATATATATATATATATATATATATATATATATATATATATATATATATATATATATAAGTGTGTGTGTGTGTGTGTGGCGGGAGTACGAGTGAACGTCCCTAGTGACGCAATGCCCTGCTCGCGATGGAACTCACGCGCTAAGGGATTGACATCGCCGAACTACCAAGACTAGGCTCGGCGATCAAGGCAGACTGCATGAGGCTGGTGAAGGGTTACACGTTCCACCTCCGCACCACGTGAACATGAGGTCGAATTTGCACTATCCGATCGCTTAAATTGCCTGCTAGTGGCAGACCCGATTGGTATCAGGCCCGCTTGATGACACTGACTGCAACTGGGAAGTGGTAAGTCTGCTACTTTTATTAGCACGTATGGTCCTACTATGTGTTATCCTGATGATATGAGGGATCCGTTGTACTCTGTTATCCTCCGTGATGCCGTCTCTGCTGAGGAGCGATCGACTATTTTCAATGCGGGATCTCAACACGCGCGTTAGGTGTGATGCAGCAGTGTGGAAAGACGTAATCGGTCCGTATGGTATTCTCTCAGCCAATGGGAACAGTGACTGGCTGCTCTAACTGTGCACCAATCGCGGCCTAACGATCACGAACACGTAGTTTGCACTGTGTGCAAGTGATATAGCTACTCGGAAACACCCACGGAGTGGTGACGCTCACCTGCGCGACAAAGTCATCGTACGCCAGCGTAACATTCGCGAAGTGCGCATGACGCGTGTACTGCGTGGAGCTGAGTGTGACGCAGATCACAAATTGGTGTGGACCAAACTGTACATATATTTTCGTAAATCTGTGTATTGCATTCCTGCCGGGAACCGACGAAAATATAACATTCTGTTCCAGGGTAGTGTGGAGAAGAGAATGGAATTAGAGACGATGGCTACCCGCTTTGTTGATGTCGAATCCAAAGCCACAATGGTCGGCCTGTGGCACCATATCCGTGAACAGGTGACGGATGTTGCCGAAACAACGAGTGAACACAAACTGTAAGCAGACTGATTGGTTTAATGACAACAGTGCGGCAACTGGTGCATTGGTGGCGGCGAAGAATGCAGCGTTTGCTTCACAAGTGGCGGATCCAGCAGAGTAGAAGGAGTCATTTTCGCCGACTTTGACGGGGACTGACTCGAGAGCTCCGTCGCATCAAGAATGCTAGGTGAACGGAGAAGGCGAAACAGATGAAATGCTAAGCCGAAAGCCACCGGCATAAGGAATTCTTTGGCTCTTTAAAAGTGATGTATGGGAAAACAGTGCAGTCGCTGAGGACGCTGCTCGATTCGATTTCAGGCGCTGTCTATATGCGGACTGCAAACATGTAGGTCTGGCAAAGCAATTTGGTTGTCGCTTGAACAACCGTTCAGAGACTGGACTGTGTTATGCGGGCCGCAACGACAAGAGAAAGATGTGTCTTGCTGATACACCGACACTGGGTGAGACGCAGAGAGCACTTGTTCAGCTGCGAAACGGCAAGTGTGCCGGTTCTGACGGGATTCCGTCTGAAAAACTAAAACACGGCGGACTCGTGTTGATGAATACGCTGCACCAATTGGTGCAACGCGTGTGGTTTGCAGAAGTGATGCCGGCCGAGCTGAAGGATGACCTTGTGTTACCACTGTACAAGGGCAAGGGAAGCAAGCAATGTGTCACGAATTATCGTGGTATCAACTTGCTGAGTTGTGTGAGAAAGGTGATTTCCCGAATCCTGTTCAACCGCCTCGTTAGTAACCTTGTGAAATTGAACGTGGTGGAAGAGCAATGTGGGTTCCATTCGGGCCACAGCACCAGCGATGTGGTATTTGCGGCTCGTCAGGTGTAGAAATGTAGAGAACGACACCAGCCGGTTTACTTGATGTTTGATGACTTCACCAAAGCATTTCAAGGCCTCGTGGTTGGTGTTGGGTAACCTTGATTGTCCGAGTAAGTTTGTAAGTTTAATGGAATATCTGCACAGTGGTATGCGGGAGAGGAAGCAGCTGAGTGGACAAACCTCGGATGACTTCTGGGTTGAAGCAAGGCCGAGTCTTAGCTCCGGCTCTGTTTAATACTTATCTTCATGCCATGATGTCGTGTGCGTTTGATGCGGTTTATGCTTACGGTGTTCGTGTCATCATCATCAACAGCAGTACATCAGCCATTTGAACTGATGCTTCGCTGCCATACATCCATGAGGACCTACAAAATAAAGAATAAGAAGAGGGAGAGAAGGGGGACTTACCTGAAAACCTTAATGCCCTAAGCAAACATTCTGGGTCAAGGCGCCTACACCTTGTGTTAACAACATACCGTCACAAACAGCTGGCTATCGTGCAAAGATAAGGCGGCATCGGCGAGACAGATTCCTTGCGGCTTTCACTGCCACGCGTCATAATCAGCCATTATCCCGCAGATAACTCAGCACCAAACACACTTTAAACAGACAATCCGATTAGAAGACGGCAGCAGACGCGCCACTGGTGTCGGTTGCGAGCCATGTCCTGTAAAGTCTCGAGCCAAGCACAAGGTGAGTCACGTGGACTCCAACCCGGAAGGCGAGACGGACCAACGGCACCCAGTTTGGTCGTCAGTGAC